AGAAAACTAGATGAAGAAAAAAAATTTTTTCAACTCTATTAATTTCCTGTGACTATTGTAACTGTTTACCACAAACTGGTGGGTAAAGCAAGGTTTATTCTCTCACAATTCTGGAGGCTGAAAGTCTAAAAGCTGGCTGTTGGCAGGGCCTCACTCTCTCTGGTGCTCTGGGGAGTCTTTTCCTTGCCTCTTCCAGCTTCTGGTGGTTGGTGGTCGTAAGCAATCCTTGACGTATGTGTGGGTTCCTCACTCACATCTCTGCCTGGCTGGTCACATTGCCTCTTCTTCTGTCTATTTAATTTCCCCTGTTTGCCTCTTATAAGGATACTTGTCATTGGATTTAGGTCCCATCGGTATATAATTTAGGATGACCTCATCTCAAGAGTCTTAATTATGACTTCTGAGACCCTTTTTCCAAATAAGGTAGCATTCACAGGTTCCAGGGATTAGGACATAGATACACTTTTTTTTGCAGACCCCTATTCAGCCTTCTAGATCAATATTCCAATGATTAAAGTCTGTTCATCTCTCTGATATTTCAAAATAACATTGGTTGTTTCTTTGAAGTTAGGCGGTTTTATGTTACAGACCTTTTCCTAGCATTTTCTGAGTATTTTACTTGCCTATCTCAATTCAAATGTAACCTCTATTCAAAATAAGAAAAACTAAATATATATATATTTATATATATTATAGCTTCTGATACTTGTCAGTTCATTGACTGCTTAAAGCAAAAGTGGTCTGAGATTTGGAGGGAAAACTGGAAAATGAATATTTGATGGACAAATTCAGAGACAGTACTCCAACACACTTATTTATATGGATGTTTTCAAGTCCTGGAATTTGTAAGTCATCTGTCAGTCTCTCAGTTGTTCAGTTGACGCCGATAGTGGCTGGAAACTCAGGTAGTGCATCAGGAAGATGTGGCTCCCTTATATTCGTTGTCTTCCTCATAGCACAGTGGTTCAGGTCGGTTGGACTTATGTGGTGGCTCAGGGCTCCAAGATGAATCTCCCAGCCTACAAACGGGAAATTGCACCGCCTTTTGTGATGTAGCCCCAGAACTGAGACAGCATCACTTCTGCTATACTTTCCAAAATGAAGCAGTCAAAGATCCACTCATATTCAAGAGTTGAGGACATACACCCTACTTCTCAGTGGGAGACGTGTTAAAGAACTTGGGGCCATATTTAAAAATTGCCACACCAGGTTTCATGCTACTTGAAGTATTTTACATTTCAATCTGAAAGGTCATGGATTTTGGAATGGTATAATATTACCTAGGGGGCAACAGCCCTCAGGGTTCTGTATTGTGCTAAGCCCGTGGTCCTCAACTCTATGCTTTAAAGTCACCTGGAGAGAATTTTTTTTTTTAAATACCAATACCTGAACTGCACACTCAGAGATTTCTGGCTTGCTTGATCTGGAATTGAACTTGGATATTAAGTATTTTTTCGATGCATAGTGTCTTGTTCCTTAGCATCAGGCTAATGGTATGGTTTTTAATTGATTCCTTTGAATGCTTCTTACTCAGTGGTTTCAGAAACAGACCCACAGTTCCCATCAATGAGGATAGGAAGAGTTGGGGGGGGTATGTTACCCTCTGGAATATGTGCAGAGGTTTCAAAGGACTGACTCTTGCTGGTTTGTGGCTATGTCATTGGTTTTTGGAAGGAGCTGAGGTTGTAAATGAGAAATCTGATGGGCAGGGTGGAGGTGTATCAGAGGAACAGGCAGCAAGGGTTGTGATATGAAAATGTACACAGATGATATCTGACATTGCTCTGTACACACAAGACTTATTACTCTCCAGCTTGTCAAATTTGCAAATGGTCTTTTGCCCTTTTGGGGTTCCACATCTCAAGATTTGTCACCCTTTACATAAAGAATATACTGTAGTGAAATACAATTCATGTCTTTGGTATGAGTTGTCCACTTCATGTATCAGCTTCCTCTGATATTTTCCTTTTCTTCCACTGCTGCAAGCACAGTCATGTCAGTATAGCATCTGTTTGCAAAAGTACAGTCACAGAAGGGAATTAGAAACTGAGTTTTCACCACCTGGATAACAGAGGGACCTTGGCTCCACATCCTAGCAATTCTTAGATCTCTTTGAGTGGATCGGTTTAACGGTTCTTCTTAAACTGAGGGTCTGCCATGTAAAATGGCCCTTGTCTTCAGCTGTTCCAGATCTGGGAATGTGATACATTTGCTTCTCTAACTGCTTGCAAGTTCAGAGGAGGCAGAACATTTATTCTTGGCTGAGCACAAACAATGTCAGAAGGAGAATAAGTCCGTGATTGGTTCCTACACATGGCCTTAGCCACAACAACAAAAAAGATCATATTAATACCAAAGGGCAGCTACAGCTGCCATCTCAAATGACACCCAGATGTCCAGCTATTCAAAGGGAGGTGCCTAAGCTGTGACTGAATGTCCCATAGTGAGCAGAGGGAGTTCATTTTTTATCTTCACAGACTCCTTGTCATTCTTGGCACTGTGGAGCAAGGTCAGTTCCCTGAAGGATTGTGTGATTGGCATTCTCACTCAATGAAAAGACAGCGTATGTTTTGTGCATGTGTGTATGTGTGTGTGTGTGCACTTGTGTGGGCATGTTTTAGGCAAGGATGCAGGGAGTGTTTGTAATAAACATTTAAGACCACAGCAGATAGGATGGATTTTGAGCGGGGTTAGGTGTTTCTGGGAATAATGTGATAATGAAGGGTATATAATGTGACACGCCTTTACATGATGCCACATTTATGCTGCAGGTTTGGGCATGGTTGTTTGGAGGGACCACAATATATAAAGAGTAAAAATAGAGATTGACTGCTGCCCTGTAACTGAGATTCTGGAGAAAATGGGGAACAAGCTTCCCCTTAATCTCCAGACTCTTACCCAGAAGGGGAGGCATTCACTTTGAGTGGTGGAGAGACACAGGTTCTAGATCAGGCTTGGCCAGGAACTTGCTGGGTGGCCTGGAACAAAAGGTATTGCTTACCTCGACCTCAGTTTTCTCTTTAAAATGGTAGGTCTGATTTGGACGACCTCTGAAGAACCTTCCAATTAAATATTTATTGGATACTTAGGTTTGCCTCTTAAAACTGTTTGCTACTGATGCCTAATCACTTAGTGTGGATATGTGAGAATGTCACGAAAATCACTTTTTTATTTCCATATTTGGTGAAACTGAACACATCTCTGCTCATCATATTATATTACGTAGGGTACGTACATTAATAATGAGAATGTTACAAAAATATCAGGCCGTAGAGTGACCTTTCATTTTTCTGAGCTTAGAATTAAATGGCTGAATGTCACTTTTTATACCTCCCTAATAGCATTATTTTAATAGCATTTATTTATTATAGTACTTTGTAAGACCAAATGAAAATGTTTTCATAGTGAAGTGGAAAGATGAGTTTGGGATTAGGGGCTCAGGAACTGGAAACTTAACTTTAAATACTTCAGATATTACCTTCTCCTAATCCAGAGCCACCTCATCACATGCAGTGGCCTCCTGCCTTGGGAGAACTGGACAAGCAGAGTATTGAGCTCAAGTGGAGGTACATTAGCCCATGACTTCACTAAACAGTCAGGGGAAGTGTTGATTTACAAAGGGTAGGGTATTGTCTACACAAAGCCCCTTTTAAAATGCAAACATTTCCTGGAAGGAGTAATTACTTAACCAACATCACCCATGGAGCACTTTGAGACAGCTGTCCTGAGACCACACCTGGGGGTGAAAATGGGGTTAACCTTAAAGTACAAAACATTGTTTCTGTGTAATACCTTCTGTAAAACACTGGATCTTCTGGCCTCATTCAATGACTCACTTCTGCCTCCCCAATGAATTCTGGGTGTCCCCAGTCACACATACTCTCAAACAAGTCCTTTCAGCCTTCTCTGACACCCAAGGCCTCCGCTGCCATATGATGGTTTCTTTCTGCCCCACTGGGAATGCAAGACATCAGGTATCTCCACGCAGCCTGGCTGCCTCCTGCCGATGAAGCTGTTGGCACTCAGGAGATCACGGATGCTCTGTGATGCTGTCATGTCCTCCATCAAGGGCACCATCACATGAGTGAGATCTGGATTTTGCTGGTGTTACTGCCAGAAGTATGGGAGATGGACTTGGCCCCCATCTTGCGCCCTTCTCCCAACCTTCCAGCAAAGTCGTAT